AAGATCTGTGTGATTCAAACCCACAGTCTCCCCACTAAATAGTAATTATTGTATTATATACAATTTGCAAGCATGAAACATGAACTTGCGCAAGGATTGGATAACCGTTGTTAAAGGTCAATTATAATAGTATTGCTCTGGATTTATATAGTGCATCGTTTTCTCAGAACTCCAAAAATATTCAACGACTTATTCTCATGGCATATCCTTGAGGCCAGGAGAAGCAAGTATTATTTTACTAGATGTGGAATCTGGAAGAACAAAAAGATTCTGTAATTTGCTCAAGGCCGTAGAGTTAGCAGGAAAACAAAATGAAAATGGAGGTCTTCACATCCCAAACCCAATACTTACCTTCATATCCCTAATCCAATACTTGCCTCCATTAAAAATGACTACCTCTCATTAAGTTTGCATAAGACCAGGTTAAGTAATAAACTTAACTTGTGTGTACAGAGGGCGATAGTCTATGAAATAATAACAATAATAATAACAATAACTGCCTTTGTTGGGTGTCTACCGAGTACTGAGTTCTTCCTGCTCCTGAATGAGTTCTAATACTCACGAAGCTTGATGGTAGAGCTGACTTGCTCAAGGACACATAGTGATGTGAGAAAGCTGATAGTCGAAACCAGACTTTTCTAGGTTTGAAAGTCCAGACTTCTGCCACTGAGCCACATCGACATGGATATGAAATGCCATTCTCAAGTTCCAGGAGGAATATGGGTGATATTCACCACTACAAAATCCTACTCCATCAAATGAGTTATGGTAGCACTGTAGGTTATAGTGGTGATTACGTGGATAAATTTATATAAAGTGCTCTAGACCAGTACCTGGCATCAAGAGTTCCACAGGTGATGATAATGATGTTGAAGGGAATTGATTGAAGGGCATTTGTCTCATTTCCATTAGGTTTGATTCCCCCAAACAAGCTACACACATGAATCCTTGTATCAAAAGGGCCAGCCATCTCTTCTTCATCACATGTTATTTACATATAAGTGTAGACAGTCAATCAAGGCCACCAAGACACGATTACTAAACAGAGTGGTTTGATGCTGAGCTAACGTCAGAGAACAATTCAGGAGTGTGACACATGGTCCTTGCCTTTAATTTGAAATTCCAGTGTGGTTGGAAAGGCTAAAATGAAATCCTAATATAAACTTACAAAATTATTTCAATAGTGTAATTGAGCCCCTCTCTTGCCGAATGCGTGCAGAAATCACTGTGGAATGAATGTACGTGAAGTGATCGGTACAGACGGAGTCAGAGATGCAGGAGAAAAACCGAGAGGATGTCCCACGAAGTGGCAGAGGAATTTACGGAAGGGGAGAGTGGTTCAGGGAAGATGGACAGTGGATCTGGCAGTTCACTGATTCACTGATAAATTTCCAGAGAGTAGATAAGAGGGAGCAAGTATGCCATCTGTACCTCGGCGCAGGCGCGTGTTCAACAAAGCACATCCGGGAGGCTGAACCGCGTCCCCTGAGAGGTTGCCTCCTCTGAGTCCCCGCTCCCATCTGGTTGCTGCAGCTCTTAGGCAATGCCAATCATTGCCTCTCTTTCTTTTGAGCATTTAAGGGGCTTGTGGCATGAGTTTCAGAGCAATTCCCTGAGATTTTTAAAGCCGCTCGCTAATGACTCTATTAATAGGGTCTACAGCTTGTTCAAAGGGCCCACGGTAGAGAAAATCATTGGCATTTTTCTCTGTAGCTCTTGTTTTATACAAGAATGTGTATAGGTGTATACATGTGGGTATATGTGTGTGTATGTATGCATCCATATACGTATGCCTATAGTATATGCGGATATATGCATGTATGTACGTATACATTAATATATGTGTGCATATAATATATGTGGGTATATGCATGTGTGTATGTATGCATCCATATACGTATACCTATAGTATAAGCGGGTATATGCGTGTGTATGTACGCATCCATATATACATGCATATTCGATTTGTGAGATATATGATCCGTACCCGGGATGGTGCCAGATCTCAGGTTTGGTTAAATTCATCTCTTCAGGAAAGAAACACCCCTTCCCTTCACCTCTGCCCTGTAGGACATTAGTGAGGAATTTGGCTAATGGGGAAAAGCAGTTTGGATTCCAGATAGACCAAATCATTAAAAATTCTGCCTAGACTTTCTGTTCTAGAGGAATCTACTTGTACCCTCAGCTCTTCAGGTCACACACAAAAAATAGAATTTTTTAAGGCATCGTGAGTATAAAACTAGGAGGGTTTTCACTGTAGTTACGTGTTTTAAAATTCACTGTTTATACTGAAATTGAAAAAACTTCGAGCTACAAAAGACACAAGACCATTATTTTTCAAGAATAAAGTTAACCATATTTTTCTGTCTGGTAGAAAATAGAGCATTTCTTAAGCCTTTACGAGGCTGAATTGTGGATCCCCCGGCCACTGTTTCTGCTAGATTATACATCAAGTAGCAAACTCTTAGCTTTGGGATGCTTGAGTTAGAGATTACCCAGATTGATGGACAAGTCCTCAACCATCTGGATTTAAGACAAATACAGATCTAGAATGACACTCAAGCACCACCGATTCCCAGTTTTTCTGGAGCTTTGAAAGCTTACGGATTATTCTGCTGACACTTCCTGTCAGCAGAAATTCTATTCTATTCTATAGGGTATATAGAACGATACACAGAATGATAGTTTCTGAGAACTATTTTTTTTTTCCTGAGAACTATTTTTGAGAATTTCACGGCACCTCCTCCCAGCTCATGAGATGTGTCTAGAAGGGCTACAAACCCAGGCTTGAAAACCACTGGTCTCCACGTTGAATGACAGAACCCTGCCGCAGGCCACACACAGCTTTGTGCTCAACCTTTATAAACACTAAGTTCCCTCACTTGTCAGCTAACTGTGGAGAGAAAGTAAGGAAAACTGGTTACTCTTACAGAAAGCACGTAGTCCTGCCTGTAGAGACAAGCCGGTAGTATTCCTCTGTTGCAGCTGGAGTCGTCTTCTGATGCAATTACATCAGTACCTTTCTAGACACAATTTCCTTTGCATACCCAGGCCGCAACATGCATATGGCCCTCTCAAAGACTCATCCTTCTGAGCTGCTTAGACCCACAAATACCTCTTTTGCCCCTGCCATGGGTCCCAGCTGCAGAAAGTTCCAGGGACCAGATGCAAATTGAAGTTATTTGTTCTTAACCCCAACTGCACATTGGATTCACCAGGAGAGCTTTGGAAACTCCCAGTGCCCAGCCATGTGTGAGAACCACTGAGCTCACATAACTCCCCAGTGCCTAATCAACTTGACTTTGCTTTTTTTTTTTTCAGTTAAATCATCTCTAACTTAGTGGGTCCTCGACTATTCTTGTCTGTGTTGCCTTTTCATGGCTTTGTGAATAGAGTTAGTCACCTTGTCTCTTGAGCCTGCTTCTCTGGATGGAGGGGATAGACATTGAGGAGGATATACTGGTCAAGCCACAAAGAAGATTGTCATCTGATGTCACTGGAAATGACCAAAATCAGTAGCACCAAGAGGGTGTGGGGGTAAAGCAAGATCACAGCCCAAGCCCTATAAACCAGGGATTTGGGAACTCTGTGGTAGAGACACAAGGCGGTTCTGATAATTCAACACTTACAGAGGGCACATGGCTCCAGTAAGAGAAAGTAAGCCAAGACTATACCTCGCTCCACGGTGAGTGTTTGAACCCCATTTTGTACACAAGGGTCGCTTGCTCACCAGGACCTCTGGGACCTTTGACTAAACTTTACCTTGCATTAGGTCACTTGGAGATTAAAATATAATCCAAAGTATGGTACAGGTACAAGGCCGGGATGGGGGGAGGGCGCATCTGAGATCATTTCACGGTGGTGCAGGGAAAACCATCTTTTACTGGATGATTTTTTTATTTACTGAAAATATGTAACTCATGCAACAAATGCATAATTTGACAGGTACTGTTGCTTTGGCCACTGATTAGAAATGTATCCATTTAAGGAAAGGTATCAGTAATTGTATACAGGTGATACTCTTCTCTGGAACAAAAACCAGAGACAGAAGTTGGCTCACACTACGTGATAGCATGGTCAACTTCAATTCAGGGTCAGTGTTCTTCCCAAACTACCATTTGAGGGAGCGAGTAGGGGGAAAAGAAAAAAAAAGGGGAAGGTTATTCAGTCTTTAAGTAAGATATGGAGGAGCTCATGAAATGCCGCCAAGGTGAAATGCTCTTCTTTCAGCCAGATTGCTATTCAAGAAGCATGGGCGGGAGGTGAATGGGACACTGAAGCCCAATGCTGGGTCCTGTTGATCTAGAGTTGAGCCCGCAGTGTCTGCAGTGGGCTTGGTAGAAGGCTCAAAGGAGAAAACCCTGGGCCAGCTCCCCCATGCCCGTCTCTTGGGAAGGTGAACGATGTGTCCTCCCGAGCAGCTTGCTCTGCCGGGCGTGCAGGGTCTGTAGAAGGCTAAGAAGAGGCCCAGAGAAGACCTGACACGCTGGCTCATGCCGTGTGAAAGCTGGTCCTCTTGCTCCATGTAGACTCTGATTAAACTCATCTCTGTCTTCCACGGTTCGAGGCAGAAACTCGGGGTCCCAAGAACAAAGCAGCCAAGTGTGTTTCTCCAGAGAAAGAGGGGTCTGGCGAAAACAGCCCTGACAGCTGGGTTCTGTGGCTTGGCGAATTAAGGGCTTTTACATGTTTCATTCAAGACTCTGTTTAGTCTGGATACCGGGGATTTATATATCAATTTTTGGCTCTACTGTCACGGAGGTGGTTCTGATTTCTAGTGATTTCGTTGTCATCCGCAGTTGCCTCCAGTGAGAGAAAGAGCTAAGAGAACCGGGGTTAGGGGGGTCTGGACTGAATGGCAGGCTCAGTTAGAAGCTTGCCTTTCTTGCTTGGCTCTCCTTAAGGGGGTTTCTCATGCTGCCCCAAACCTAAGGTAGCCGTCCTTAATCAGAAACACCTGGAGCGGGATGGGTAACCCGCTTTCACATTGGCTTTTGCAGAAGTGGCAGTGCATTGAGGACACATCTGGCAAGCTTCGAATTCACAAGTGTAAAGGATCCGGGGACCTGCTCACGGTCCAGCACAGCACGAGGAACCTCTACGCTCGCGGCTTCCTGGACAAGGACAAAGATTGCAGCTGCGGAGAGTCTGGCTATCGTGGAGGCAGAAGCCAGAGGAAGAGTCAAAGGCAGTTCCTGAGAAACCAGGGGACCCCCAGTAAGCTTCGCGCGGGGGCCCTCTCAGGGGAAGGCAGAGTGCTCTGCCGATGGACAACAGGGAGACGAGAAAGGCTTGCTCCGTCTACGTTTGAGATCTTATCCATGCAGAGGTTTAGCGCCAAAAGCAAAGAATTGTTCTGTTTAGAAGAGCGAAGCTAAGTTGAAATCTGGGGTTTGTGGACATTTTAACTTAAGCATAGAATGAAAATATATTCAGTAAAAGTACTAGACACAAACTATACACACACCTAAAAGAGCTAAAAAGGGGTAACAGGTGTGGGGAGGAGCAGAGGGTATAGTTTAGGTGAGTTTTAGTTTACATGAATACTAATGTTCTGATTTGTCTGCCTTGAGCTGCTCTTAAAAAAAAAAGGAGGAAAATAAAAATTCGAGGTTTCATTGCTTATAGATTTAATAAGAAAAATATAAATACTTTTTTTAAAGGTACATCTGTTGTAGGACAGTATTTTTTTTTTTTTAGTTCTGGTTGACTGGCAGGGTCAAACTAGTCAAATTCAGCATGAAAAGCACTGCCTAGCATTTTCTTTATAAAAATTCTATCAGGCAACTATGAAATTCCTGTGATTATACAGATGTGAAAACCCAGTCTGGCACCTTCCCTAAAAGAATGAGAGTCTAGTGCCATCTAGTGGCAGATTAGGAAAAGTGACTCATTTCTGTGGCAATTCTTTTCTATACTGATTTGGAAATGAGTAAAATACATTTTCTGTGTTGTTGTTTTAAGTAGGCTGTACACACAACGTGGGGTTTGAACTCACGACCCCAAGATCAAGAGTCGTGTGCTCTACCGACTGAGACAGCCAGCTGTACCCTCATTGTAAATTAGGAAATCAATCACTAGAACAATAGGGGCTCTTAGCGCTGGCTTTTTTATCCTAGACCTCACAGATGGATTTTAAGGGATCGTGAGCCTTCTAACATTTTATCCAAAATGATAAGTCTATTCTGTATATATGTGCACATTTTTCTGGATGTCCCTAACTTTCAACACATTCTTAAATTAATCCCTAACCCAAAGGCTAAGAATGATTGATTTAAGAGATCTTTTTTCCTCCCTAAGAGAAAATGCCAGGTTTAATCATTTACACAAAGATATCAAACGGAAAGCCGGAAGGGGCAGCCTCCCCAGCAGTGACCACGAACACTGATTTTGTCCGACATTGAACACAAATGGAGATGCCTGGGGCCATGCTTTCAAACCATGTAGAATCTCACCTATTTGAGGGCAGGAGTTGCTCATGAGCACACTCAGTGCCCTGCTTACTGTCACAGAGGTGTTTCCTCCTCTGGGAACTGCCATCATGGCGGGATCCTGTGGCAAGTGCCATTCTGAGTCCATGGCCTGGGTGTTCTCTTCTTCCTATTTTAGCAGCAGGCTGGAGAAAGAGGGCCGCATGAGTATGTCCCCTCGGAGCCAAAGTGCATCTGGTAAGGAGGGGCCAAGGTTTATGCATTAAAGCCCGTGTCTAGCACACTATGAGCCTTGACCACGTCTACAGACCAGAATCCATGCTGGCCTCTCCCTGGCATTGCTCTCCATCTGCCAGGTATTAGAAGTCAGCTGCCTGATAAAGGCATTTGCAAAATTTAATTTTTCTCTATTTTTTTGTACAAATAGAAGGTGTCAAGAACATGTACCCTTTTGTAAAAGCAGCCCAGCGTTGTAGAAAGACTGTGGCCTTTAGAATCTGGTAGATTAGAGCCCTGGCTCCCACAGCTGTTGGCTCCATAACCTTGCAAAATGTAAGCAGCGTTCAGAGCTTCAGTTTTTCCGTCCGCAAGAATCATCACACCAAATTTATGAGTCTGTTCTGGCAATCTAATAAGTTTTTTCTTAATATAAGGATTTATTATAATAATACAGGTCTTCCAAGATTGTGGATTAGAGATAAATATGAACTGAATAATATATAGCAAAGGTCCAGTCAATGAGAGTCAGTATTATGATTAATACCATAATTGGGAATATAGATTTATGCAAACAAACTGCCTTAGCAGTTCACGTTGAAAACGCAGTATGGAAGTTCACAGCTTGCTGTGAGTGGAAAGGATCTTAGACGCACCCCCCCCTCCACTGGAGGGACGAAGAGCTAAGGCCAGGGGATCGTGCCATCCATCCACTGCTATGCAGCGCCCAAGCCCAGACAAGAGCCCATGTTAATGCGTATTCCCTTATTTCCAGAGTACAAGCCCAGATTTGTCCATACCCGGCAAACACGTTCCTTATCCGTCGAATTTGAAGGCGAAATATATGACATAAACCTGGAAGAAGAGGAATTGCAAGTGTTGCGACCCAGAAACATTGCCAAGCGCCACGATGAAGGCCACAGGGGGCCCGGAGATCCCCAGGCTGCCGGAGATGGGGACGCAATGCTGGCAGACAGAGACAATGCCCTGGGCCTGCCCACCACCATCCGAGTGACCCACAAGTAGGAAGGCTTTAGGTGTTCTCAGGGGCTGCGTTCCCAGTCATCCTCCCCTCTCCATTATCACTGTCTTGCTTCTTTTATTATTATTATTATTAAAGATTTTTATTTATTTGACAGAAAGAGAAATCACAAATAGGCAGAGAGGTAGGCAGAGAGAAGGCGGGGGGAAGCAGGCTCCCCACTGAGCAGAGTCCCCGATGTGGGACTCGATCCCAGGACCCTGAGACCATGACCTGAGTCGAAGGCAGAGGCTTAACCCACTGAGCCACCCAGGCACCCCACTCTTTTGCTTCTTCATAAAAAGTGATATTGCTCAGCTGTATAGGGTCCAGAGGTTGGCCTGCAGAACAACTGGAGTTTAAAGAAGCAAGGGGGCGTCCACACAGTCATACATTTGGACACATGCTTTGGGTTCAGTTTCACATGAAGGCTGATCTGCTGGGAATTTAGCCAAAGCGGTTCTATCACATCTTAACTTAGCAGGCATGGAGCTCTGCCCTTGAACAGTTACCTTTATGGGAGTCTAGGAAATAGATAGAAACCAAGACTGGCACTGTAGAGGCTCAGAGGAGCTGTACACTCATACCCCAAAGGAGGACTGAGAGTCCAGGAGAAGCTTCTGGAGAGATGGGATGTGGTGGGAATGGAGGTAAGATGCAGAAACACCTAATTAACCAGGGAAGATCCCAGAGGGCAGTGAGGGCCTCAGGAATCATAGAGACAGGGAAGGAGACGATTATCCCACAGCTGTAATGTACCACCTCGGTTCTCCATTTCCTTCCAGAATCGTTACTCTCATGAGAGAGAAAATTTTTCTTTCTGAATTTAGTAGCCAGGGTTTTTTTCTTTCTCATTCTATCACTTTGGGGAGGCCCAGTATTACGAGCTCTGGCAGGATTTTTATCTTTGGGACTGGTCTTCCCGTGCCTGTGCAGTTGACCTTGAACAAGACAGGGATTGGGGACACAGACCCTCCCCCTATTCCACAGTTGAAAATCCACTTATAACTTTTGACTCCCCAGAAACTTAACTGCTAGTGGCTTACGGTTGACCAGAAGCCTTAACAATGACATAAACAGTCAATTAACACTTATTTCATATGTATCATATACTATATTCTTACCGTAGTATAAGTTAGAGAAAACAGTGTTGTTAAGAAAATCATAAGGAAGAGGGAGGAGAAAATATGTTTACAGCTCTGGACTGTGTTCATAAAAAAAAAAAAAAAAAAAAAAACAAACTACTTATAAGTGAACCTGTGCTGTTCCAGCCTGTGTCATTCCAAGGTCAACTATAGTTGTTTAGAATTACATGCTAGGAGATTCAGACCAGGATTTGTTTCTCTTTCAGTACCGATCAACCCCTTATCCCAATATTTCTCTGCCATAGGGGTATTTCTTTGCTTCAAACTGAATGAGGTACTTGAGACAGGGTCTTTGTAACAAAATGAATAGGATAATAACCCCTTCTAACTCTGCATTTCTTCAGAGCAACTTGCTTCCGTTATAACTGTGGAAACCTCCATGTTTCCTACGTAGTTGACAAGGCTTTCAAATCTGGAGTTTTCCGGTGGTCGCTGTTCTTGCGGACATGAATACTGAATGTTGCTGTAAAAGGGGATCTCAGTAAGGGTCTCTCTCTGACACCATCCTTTCCCCACCCGGGTGTCCAGGAGACATTCCCACGTATCCTTGTCTATGGCTCAGCTTCAAACTACTGCTTGCCTCCAAATTAAGAGTTTAGAAGACAATGTTGTTCCCTTTGCTATTTCTAATGGGTTTTTTTTTTAATGCAGATTAGCTTATAAACCTATTTCTAATGTTCTGGGTTTGTTTGTTTTTGCAGGTGCTTTATTCTCCCAAATGATACAATTCACTGTGAGAGAGAACTGTATCAATCGGCCAGAGCCTGGAAGGACCACAAGGCGTACATTGATAAAGAGGTTAGCCACGGCTGTGTGATTGGAAGGTGTAGTCCAAAGGCAAACCCGGCTCGCCAGCTCCATGGCAGCCGATGGGGCTCAATGTGTGTCCATTTCATTTATTTTATTATTTTTTTTTTTACAATGACAACTACGTGAAAAATAGCGTAGCAAAGTATTTATCTTTCCCTGGGGATATAGTGATCATCCTGTCTGAAAACAAAATAGGGTGTGAGGAAACCGTGGGGGTTGGCTCGAGGACCTGTTGAAATCTCTTCGAGGAAATGATCCAGTCATAAGCAAGGCACCTGCTCACGTTTGTCTCAGTGGGAACATCAGCGGGAGGACCCGAAGATCATCTGGTCGTGATCATCATGACCAGCGGGAACATCGTGGTAGACATACTCTGTGCCCAGTTTGTTTCTAAGTTAATTACCATCTCAGGGGATAGCCGGAATTATGGAACACAAAAAACGAGGTGAAGAGAGGGGCACTCGGCACAGGAAATCCTGATCTTCAGATGTCATTGTTCAAATACGTGTCTTCCAGATTGAAGCCTTGCAAGACAAAATTAAGAATTTAAGAGAAGTGAGAGGACACCTAAAAAGGAGAAAACCAGAGGAATGTGCCTGTGGTAAACAGAGGTGAGTGCAGCACCCTGGCAGTCTTGCTTCCAAACTTGTGTTTCCACAAGCTCCAGGGATAAGAACTGGGCTTCTTTCTCTCTTATGCCAATAGAAAGCTTAATAAATTGAATTTGTTACCATATACTGTAATGACCTAAACTCCTTAGGTTAAATGAAATATGTCATAAATCTAAGCCGAAGGTTAAAAAAGCCCTATTAAGCTAAGATCATTAAAGTAACCACTTTCTTTCACTTCTGCTTTTTGTTGTTGTTGTTGTTGTTGTTGTTTTCTTTTTTTTAAGGGACCCCTGGGTGGCTCAGTTGATTGAGCAACTGTCTTCAGCTTCGGTCATGATCCCAGGGTCTCAGGATCAAGCCCCATGCTGGGCTCCTTGCTCAGCAGGGAGCCTGCCTCTCTCTCTCTGCCCCTCCCTCCTGCTCAGCTTTCCCTCTCTCTCTCTCTTTCAAGTAAATAAGTAAATAAAATCTTTAAAAATAAAAGAAAATGAACTGTCTGATTGAATGTGAGACTATGAAGACTCACTCTTCAATCTTCTTGCCCGTAGCTACTATAATAAAGAGAAAGGTGTAAAAAAGCAAGAGAAGGTGAAGAGTCATCTCCACCCATTCAAGTAAGTGAGTCTCTGTTTTCCGCATTTGCTGGGAGTGGAGGACTGTCCACTGGGCACTTCTGAAACATAGTCGGGGCCCCTATGTTCCACATAGTCCTGCTTGCTAGCAAGCAGATTTAGTCAGGAGGGCCCAGAGCCCAAGAAGTTGAAAACAAAGCCCGTACCTTGCCAAGAGACCACAGGGATGCTTTTGGAATCCTTTGAGGGGGAACCACAAGGAGTTCTACTCTAATTCTGAGTGTGTTTTCCATCCGTCTGTGGGGTGGTACCTGGATTTTATTCTATGCACTGCTTTCTCTGGACAGTGATTGGGAAATGGAACCATCTTGAACAGGATGGTGCGTTCCACAGAGTGGTCTGCAGTTGTGCTGAATTCTGAAAGTTGGGAGAAATACACATTTTTTTAAATAACAGTAAAATTTGCACGTGAAGGGGATTTAGGATTGAGCCTCAACAAAAGTTGAGTGCTTTATGGAAAAAAAAAAAAAAGCAAAATAATAGCAAAAGGAAATTCTTTCCAAGCCATCTAATCCCACTAACCATGGACTTTATGGCCAATGAGTCCCAAGTCCCCACGGAGTTAAGCCACTTGTCCAAATGCTGTGGCCAGCGGGATCCATGGATTCACGCTGACATTCCTTTCCACCAGTGTTTCCATGTAAATAAGTAAGAAAATGTTGATCCTTTCAAGCTCAGTAAAATTCTAAGAGAGTTGTCACTTAATGAGTTTGTCTTCACTCTTGCCTATTATAGTTCGAGGTCCTCTGTGAAAAAGAAAAGTCATCCATTACTGTGTATCTGCCTCTTTGTGTGAGGTTCATAAGGACAATAATATTTTTAGTCAGGAAAGTGCTTTCTGATCCCGCACGCATCCCTTCTACTGGAACAGGGAAGCTGCTCAGGAAGTAGACAGCAAACTGCAGCTTTTCAAGGAGAACCGCAGGAGGAAGAAGGAGAGGAAGGAGAAGAAACGCCAGAGGAAGGGGGAGGAATGCAGCCTGCCTGGCCTCACCTGCTTTACCCACGACAACAACCACTGGCAGACGGCCCCATTCTGGAACTGTAAGTGTTGCCTGGTTTTGGTCTCAGGTTTTTTTGGTTTTTGGTTTTTGGTTTTTAGAAATATATTCCCCAGTTTTGTGGCACCTGGGCGGCTTCATTGGTTAAGTGTTGACTCTTGGTTTTGGCTCAGGTCATGATCTCAGGGTCGTGAGATCGAGCCCCACATGGAGCTCCTTGCTCAGCATGGAGTCTGCTCATGACTCTCCCTCTTCCTCTGCCCCTCCCCCCCCAACTCACGCTCTCTAAAAAAATACATAAAATCTTTAAAAAAGTCATTCTTGGGGGCTCCTGGGTGGCTCGGTGGGTTAAAGCCTCTGCCTTCGGCTCAGGTCATGGTCCCAGAGCCTTGGGATCGAGCCCCGCGTCGGGCTCTCTGCTCGGCGGGGAGCCTGCTTCCCCCTCTCTCTCTGCCTGCCTCTCTGCCTACTTGTGGTCTCTGTCTGTCAAATAAATAAATAAAATCTTTAAAAAATTTAAAAAAAAAAAGTCATTCTTGGGGCTCCTGGGTGGTTCGGTGGGTTAAGCCTCTGCCTTCAGCTCAGGTCATGATCTCAGGGTCCCGGGATCGAGCCCCGCATCGAGCTCTCTGCTTGGCGGGGAGCCTGCTTCCTTCTTTATCTGCTACTTGTGATCTCTCTCTCCCTGTCTGTCAAATAAATAAATAAGATCTTAAAAAAAAAAAAAGTCATTCTTTTCCCCAGTTTTATTGAGCTATAATTGACGCACAGCACCTTCCAAGTTTAAGGGGTATGGCATAATGACCTGACTTCTGTGTATTGCCACACGATGACCACAGTAAGTTTAGCTCACATCCATCACCATATCTGAGTTGCTGCTAACTGCTGCCGTGTGGAGAGACACCGACTCACAGGACAGTTACTAAGATGTGGGCTTCAGCAGCCTGAAACCAGGGATCTAGAATGATTCAAGAGGAGACCATCAAATTATTTTCTGTACTGGCAACTAGAATGATCTTGCCGAAAATTACTATTTTCTTTGTAAATCAGTTTCCATATTTTATTTTTTTTCAAGTTGTATAATATTTTATTTTCATAGAAAAACTTTTAGTTTCCATATTTTATTTGAAAATACCATGCTCGCCCTGGGTGTGTCTCCTGATGGTGTTATTTCACATACTGCCCACCTCCAGGCAGAGTTCCTACCCAGTAAGGCTGGGTTTAGTCATATCTGTTACCAAATAGCTAAATGGACGGACAGTCTTGCCTTGAATACATTTTATTTCTGTTTTATTTCATGTCATGTTCTAAGTGTAATAAAAGGAAGGGAAAACCCCTTCAATGCAGGGTCTGTATTCGAAATCTCAGTCCTCTTTAGTACCTAGCACTATGCCCACAGAAGAATAGGGACTTTAGAAAATATATGGTTTTACATGGAATTGCTAATGATATGAATAATAACAATGTGCACTTTTTTTTTTTTTTTTTTTTTTTGGAGAGAGGGCACCCTAGCAGGAGTGAGGAGTAGGAGGGCAGAGGGAGAGGAAGAGAGAGAATCTTAAACAGGCTCCACACCCAACACAGAGGCAATGCGGGACTCAATCTCACGATCCTGAGATCTTGACCTGAGCCAAAATCAAGAGCTGGGCACTTAACCAACTGAGTCACCCAGGTGCCCCAGCAATTGTAAACTTTTAAAATTCACATTTACAGTGCTTTATTGGCCTATGCACAGTATTGACAGAGGTCATCTAGAAATAGTGCCCTCAATTTTTGTGACACATCATCTGATTGAAGGCTTACCATCTCAGGAAGTAGCTAACACTGCAGACCTTCTCCTTGAAAAGAGCCCAGGAGACCACCTGGGTCAATGGGGATTTGGAGACCCCAGGAACCCCAGATGATTCTTGGGGATTTCGGTCCTATCTCTGAGGATTTTTGTTTTATCTTTCCATTTTGATGCTTTTTTATTTCAGTGTCTAAGTTTGCATTTTCATTTCCAGCCACACTGAGGCCAAGTGAAGTCTTAGACTCATAGCATTTAATGTTTAATCTCGTTCCCTCAACTGGGGCGTGAGGATCTCTGAGGGTCATTCAGGTTGCAGGGGTCCGTCCTCCACCAAGATCCAGGCTGGGGCACCAGAGGCACAGCAGCCTGAAAAATCATTTCTGCAGGGCAAGGATGAATAGATGGAGCAATGGGGACATTTAGGGCAGGGAAACTGCTTTGTGTGACACTAGACTAGTGGGTACAGGGCGTTATACATTTGTCAAAGCCCATAGAACACACAACACCAAGAGCGAACCCTAATGCAAACTATGGACCTTGGGTGATGACATGTCAATGTCGGTTCATCAGCTGTCACAGATGCGCCACTGTCGCGAGGGATGTTGCCGGTGGGGAAGGTTGGGCATCATGGGGATGGGGTTCTCTCCAGAAATTCTCTGCGCCTTCTGCTCAGTTTTGTTGTGAACCTTTTTATGCCCTAAAAAGTCTATTAAAATAAAATTGGGGAAAAAAATCATTTCTCATTCGTTGTTTAAAACCTCTTTTTCAGCTTGAGGGGATAGTGTGTTTAATACTGGATGCTGGGGGGGTGGGGGGAGGTGCCTGAGTGGCTCAGTTGGTTAAGCATCTGCCTTCAGTTCAGGTTGTGATCCCAGAGTCCTGGGATGGAGCCCCAGGTCGGGCTCTCTGCTCAGCAGGAAGTCTGCTTCTCCCTCTCTCTTTCTCAAATAAATAAAATCTTAAAAAAAAAAAAAAAAGATACTGGATGGGGGTTAAGTAGTATGTAGTCGTAGGAGTATCCCCTCTAGGGACACCTGCGTGGCTCAGTCAGTTAAGCATGTGCCTTTAACTCAGGTCATGATCCCAGTGTCCTGGGATCGAGTCCCTCATCGGTCTCCTTGCTCATCAAGGAGTCTGCTTCTCCCTCTGATCCTCCCCCCTCTCATGCTCACTCTCACCCTCAAATAAATAAATAAATCTTTTTTAAAAAAGATTAAATGAGTTAATACATGCAAAGTATATAATGGACAGTGAATGCTCATTAAGTGTACCTATCCCAATTGTTTTAAAAAAAATATTTGCTAGACAGCAGATTTTTAAAATGCAATTATCATTGTAAGAAAGGTCAACAAATTTGGAAACTGCCTTTCTATAAAAGAAGACCAGGTAGTTTGTTTTGTTTTGTTTTAATTTGACATCTGTTTTGTATACTTTCCACCAGTTAACCAGTGAACCTCTGCGTGGTACGAAACGTGTTCATAGTCATAGCCCGTTTCATGTTAAAAATTGTTGGGGCACCTGCGTGACGCAGTTAGTTAAGCACCCCACTCTTGGTTTCAGCTCAGGTCGTGATCTCCGGGTCGTGAGACTGAGCTCCGAGTTGGGGTCTGCACCAAGCTGGGAGTCTGCTTGAGATTCTCTCTCTCTCCCTCTGCCCTTCCGCCCATGCATGCGTGAATGCATGCTCTCTCTCTCAAATAAATAAATCTTTAAAAAAAAAAAAAAGTTGTCTACAATGATCAAAATAATCCCCTTTCTGCGTACCATTTGTGAGTGTGATCATGACGCAGAGAACAAGCAAGGGCACAACGTCCTTCTCTGTACTATGTAACTATTTTTTTCCTTTTTTAAGAGAAGATCTTAAATAACCAGTAAAAGATCAAAATAACCCCATTCTCCACTCGCTCACCCTTATTTCAGAAACCCACTGCCTGATGGTGGAGGGCAAATGAACGTGCAGAGAACTTCACATTGGCCTGAAGTCTGTATTCACGATCATAGATGGCCACTGTTTTCCCCATTTTCCACCTGTTCCCACGGCAAATTGTTTAGGGAGGGGGAAAGTATAATTTTTTTTTAACATCCAACCACATAGTAGTTACAAGACAGAAAATGTGCCCCTTGCAGTATAAAGATAAGGAAATGTTAGAATGACTAGCCTGCCTCCATTTTCATTGTTGTTGTTTCATTCTTTTCATTTCACTGTACTGTGTTTACCAACAGTGGGATCGTTCTGTGCCTGCACGAGTTCTAACAACAACACCTACTGGTGTTTGCGGACTGTCAACGAGACGCATAATTTTCTTTTCTGTGAGTTCGCCACTGGCTTTTTGGAGTATTTTGATATGAATACAGATCCTTATCAGGTAAGTCAGTATGTTTTCGTGGGATGACAGCTGGTGACAGTAAACTAGCCGGAACCTGAGCTTACCCCTCCCGTCCTGGCCTCTTCGTCCGCAGCTCACCAACACCGTGCACACGGTGGAGCGGGGTATTTTGAATCAGCTGCACGTACAACTCATGGAGCTCAGGAGCTGTCAAGGGTACAAGCAGTGCAACCCAAGACCGAAGGGCCCAGAAGTTGGTAAGGGGGGAATAAGGGTTTTGTGGTTTTTTTTTTTTTTCCTGTATTTTCTGGGAAATTCTTTGTGTTGTCGGGTTTTCTGCCTGTGAAGTGTCTCCAGGCATAGAAGCAGAGAGTTTGGGATACTTATACGGGAGGCTTGCCAGGCAATTCCAAATATAATGTGTTCTCTAAGTTTACCTCTGAGAGCATTAATGAAACAGCTAATGCGTCCAAAGATTGGGTGAGCGTTTCATTTTAGTTTCTCGCACACATCGGTTCTCCTAGTGAATCCTCCTGAACGAAGCATCCGCTGGGGCAGGTGGGATGAAAGCCTGGGGGATTTATCTGTTCTTGCTGTCAACAGACATAATACAGACTCAAGGCAAACTGGGATATCCTCAAATTTTTAGGTGAATTTGGACGGAAACACCCAGTGCCCTGTTTCTGCTTATCCCACAGCTGGGAACTGCCTCAGGGGAATCCCTGCCTGGAACACGGGGAATTAGATTTCTTTTCCCAGGATTTTCCCTCTGAAACTAGAGATACTTGAGTAATGCACTCTCTGGGGCTCTAACAGCGTTGGAGGGCCCATACGGAATCAGCCAGATGTCCCCTCTCTGGGCTGCTGTGTTAAATTTACTTATTGCTTTGTTTCATAGAGCTGCAGATCTTTTCAGTCTGTCCCCGCCCTTTCCTACTTGATGGTAATACTGATTTCCTCTTAATTCTGGTAGAACTATAAATTCCAGCAGTCCACAGAAGGAAGGAGAAGGAGCTGGCATTGGCAAGGGCATGCGTGTCAGTAGGGCCCGCCAACCCCAAAAGGGCAAAGTGCAGGGTGCCCAAGCAGTGGGGAACACTTTGCAGGAACCCCTTGTATGCAACAGCCAGTCCTGGGTCATGTGACCGGAAAGGGGGGAGTGCCCATCCCCAGAGGATCACTGTCCACAACCGGTCATTTCCACCATTGTAGGGTCCTGAGGCTTTCAAGCTTTGAAGGTCCCTTAGGAAATTATAAATCCTGTGAGGGGGTCACCTCACAGCCATCAGCCAATCCTTCTTCATTAACACCTTACTCAGATGAATGGCCAACAGAAAAGTCCAATCCTGATTTGCAAAAGAGGTCTTTTGGTCACAACCCCACTGAGCTCAAATCTTTCCAGATATCCTTGCTTCTCTGTTTGAGCTTTTCCTTACACCATAGCCCTTCATACACCAAGAAGAGGAGAGGGGGGAAAAAAGCCCAGTAAGGCCTAGAAATTAAAGCAGTTATTAGAAACATTAGAAATATGACACCCAGACATTTCTCCCCCAAAAGACCTAGCTCTCTTACAGGTGGTGACGTAACTGCCAGAGAAGTCTGACAGTCCCTTGATGGGATGACACACCCGGGGGCGGGGGCGGGGGAGCCCATGATTGCTGTTCGGCCCAAAGTAGTCCTCTCCACCTTCTAGACAATTCCTCAGGGAGATGACCATTGGCCCTTTTTTTTTCCCCCAAGTGTTTTGTCTCAAAATAACCAGCATTGTACTGAGACTGGAAGGACTTCTCTTCCTGCTCTTAAATGGGCTCTCCTCCCTTCCCATTTCACTCATGTCTCAAATGAACTCCTCTGCATTTTTATCTCAGACCTTTTTATTTATAACTTCATTTTGAACCCGTCTACTAGAAAAGTCCTGTGGGACTCCAGCCCTGTCTGCATTTAACACAATTTGTTTCTCTCTAGGATTTAGATGTTGTGCATGGAAAACTACGTAGTGAATGGTGTTATGAGTTCTAAAGCTAACGTAAATTACTCTTGTATTTTCCTATGTCAGGAAATAAAGATGGAGGAAGCTATGACCTGCACAGGTATTCACCCTTTTTTATTCTCCCCCGCAGCTTCTTTTCCCAATAATTGCATGATCCAGCCATTTCAACTAATTTCCGTTTCTTGCCATGTTGCACAGAGCATAGTGTGGGGTGCGTGCACATGCTAATAACATTCGGCACCAGATTGTGTCATTGGTTGCAGATCTGTCATTTTGCTTTTAATCAGCTGACTGTCACCGCGGGGTGTCTCTCAGAGCATTGCCTCCATATGCATTTGCTCATTAGATGATGCTTTTAAGCATGGAATGATGTGAAAGGGGAAAAAAAAAAAAACCAGAATGATCTTTGGGAACTCTGGGGAGAAGTTGGGAGAATGATTTCCCTTGCAGGGCTCACATGTGGATTTGCTGGAGAGGCTTCATGGAAACTAGTTTGAGATTTTTATGAAATATAATGTCAAAGACCCAGAAGGAGTGATGGGAATTTCTAGAGCATTCTGAAGCTGAAGTTGGAGGAAATAGAAAGAGCTTCCTTGCTAAGAAGCCTTAATTAACTTGGGTGGTGAAAAGCATCAGTGTTACCATCCAGAAGGCTCTGCTGGTGGTGAGTGAGGAGAAGGCACTAGGGTCGGGGACCGAGAGGTCTCCGCATTAGCACAGAGACGGTACCGCCTGACACACCCAAACTTCATAAATGGGCCTCAGCCCAGCCATCTTGTTCCCTCTGACCCCCACACCCATCCTTCTTATCTCATCATGTTCTGGAGGGGGCTCCCACACACCTGGCACCATCGGCTCTTGATAATTTTCCACTCTGAGCGTAGACCTCAGGTGGGTTTGTCAGAAACGTGCCGTGTGGGGCAGGAGGGGACTGACTTACCACCTGTAGGGTGGGGAAACTGAGGCACGGTGAATCTGTCAAAGGAACATGAACCTCCTTGGACCCATGCCAGGGCACCCTATCTGCCCCACCGCCTCCCCTCCAGCCTCCCTAGCTATAGTCTCAGATTCCCCTTTTTCCAGGGCAGCTCACTGGCCTCACCAGAAACTAAACAACAGGGAAAGATGAGGGGGTGAGGGGAAGGGAGATGTAAACAACTAACAAAACAAAGGAAGTTAGGCTTTCATAATAACCCTATGAATCTCTTCTTTTTCTCTTCTCTCCTGTCTTCTTTCCTTTCCTGGCTCTGCACCCCCCCCACCCCCCCATCACCCCCAGCACACGTAGGACAGAGCAAAAAAGCCCGCTCTTAAGCTGGTCTCAGCCAAGATACGGGCTGACGAGGTAATAGCCCGCACCCAGGCACTCTTCCGCCTGCTTCCCAAGGGCCACATTAAGACATTTCCAAAGTGTGACATTTTAAACGGACCTACCACTAAATATTGACTTTACAGTTACTTGACGATGCCCTCAATTTTACAGCGAAGGGATTTTCAGTCAAGCTTTCTTTGACTCCTTGTCATGAAGGAGATAAAAAGATATGATCAGGCGATTGCAGACACAGGCCGGGTCAGAGCTGACTCAGAGAGCTCTTCTCCATCTAGTCAACCCCAGACAACTTTGAGGGGAGGGATGTGGAAATGCGCTCCAGTCATAATTAAGTGGCCAACATCTGAGACTCCTCCCTCTCCTTTCCCTGCTGCCACCACTAAGTCCATCATCTCTCAGGTCCTTTGTCACAGCCTTGGTGACTCATTGTTGATGGGGTCACCTGTCTGAGAAGGTGGCTTTGTGTGCAAGGTGACGGAGTGTTACCTATCGCCTCCCCACCGCCCCACGCCGAAATTCCCTACCAAAGGACAAATCTAAGGAAACTCTGTAACTCAGAATGCCTGGCATTTTTGGATCCCACCGTTCTGTAAGGCAGGGGGCGAGCTGGATGTCAGCGGATAGCCACGTTGCAGGCGGGAGGGAAATCATGAATCAGGGTTCCTGAGAGAGCGTCTGCCGGTCACACCTGGGGACTCTCTGGATACCCAAAAGCAGTGTCTGATGCGACCTCTCCTGCTTGCGGTGTCCTGATGGACTGAAAGGGAACAGATGCCAAACAAGCCACCTCCTGTGTGGAACTGCCGAAAATCCTGTCTCCAGATGGTGTCTGCGGGTACGCCGCCCTCTGGTGACGGCACTCCTGACAGGCTTCTTCAGAAGCCAGGACTCTTCAAGAAGATTCTGATTTTTTTTTTAAGAAAACTAATTAAATCCATTTTTTAATCATAAAATCTCATTATAAAAGACTTTGAGAAAACCGGTTAACTACCAAACCTGAAGAATATGAAATTTGAGAATTCAGCAGACCAGTATTTCAGAAACATTCATCTTGCACAAGATTGACTACATAATAGTTTTAACTGCCTTCAATTTTGTGGATTTTGAAAATTTCATCTTTAGATTCATTTCAAAATGGCCTTTTGAAAAGCAAGTCTGTTCCTTGTTCAGCTTCATTATTTATTTTATTTCTTGATGGCTGTAGCATGTGCCTGGGGCTAGGCCCCCCGAGAGGCTGGCTGACTCTCCCCGGGTCATTTTTCCTGTTAGGACAAGCACAGAGTAAGGGCACCGCTCAGAAAGTAGCCCCCATGACTCAGGAGATCATTTTTGGCTCGAGTTGAAAGTAGTCATTTCTGTGTTGCAAAATAGAATGGGAGCAACAGGTTGAGGAGGTGTTTATTTTTCCCATTGCTTAGGAAAGCTAATGCCATTGCCTTTTGATGTCCCGGAAATACTCCTGGCAGGTACGGTGGGCACCCACAGCTGTGTGGGGCAGCCCAAGGCAGGGGGTGGTTCTGGGCGGCCTCATGCTGGTGGGGCTACTTCCTGGCCCCCAGGGTGCCACCCTTTGGAGACCAGCAGGCCACACGGTGCTTCACCCTCCACAGCCAGGCTTCTGCACACCTCGCTGTTGCGTGTTTTGACTCATCTCCCCTGGAGCAGCAGCTATCGCCTTGCAGATGGATGTAGATGAGCGAGCTGGGTGTTAGGGCCTGGTTAGCATGGAGGAGCCAGTCTGCCTTGGGTTCAAGTCCTGCCTTGCTTAGTAAGAAGATGAGAATGGAGCCTGGCAAGTATCAAGCCCCAGGAACGATGAGTGTTATTAGTAAGGTGTATATGCTATATGAAACATTAACACGAAGGAGACAGTACTTGAAAGGGAATAGTGACATCAAAATTCCAAAGAATGTTCCTGTGTTTTATGAGATAGTCACACAAATAGAGATAGTCATCACCATCACTGCCATCTCGTTCATCACTCTTTGGTAATCCAGAGTTCTCTTTTTTCTGAACTGCCTGGACTTCTTGAAGGGACAGAACCCAACCTCCACTACCCTGCTCTGTGTTGCTTTAATGAAGTTTTACCTGGTTCTCTTCTCTCTGTCACATTTCAGGACTCCATTTTCTTTTTTCTCTCCATATTTCTTTCCAGTTCTACTGAAAAATAATTGGCATGCGTCACGTCTAAGTGCATTTTATTTGTAAGCTGCCTTGCTAACCCTGTTGGACTTTTCTGTTTAAGAGGCTTGACCAAGAGTTGGATCAAGGTCAAGGTTTGGGGTTAAAGGAACCAGCCTCCTCAGGTAACAGAGGGCTGAGGGTCAGAGTTGTTAGGACGTGGGTCAGAGGCAGGGCTGCTGTGTGGGACGCAGGCACTGAAATCCAGCCAAAGTTCTGCTAGACAGGCCATGCCCACTGGTGGGTTAATTTTTCTTCACACAACAGAGGCCACCCTGGTCAGGATCAGGGGCAGGGACAAGTCAGGATCATCTAAGCTCCCAAAGAATTCTCAGAATTTGGTCTTACTTTTCCACTAGTGATTCTACTCCCAGTGCCTTGTTTCTTATACCATAGAAGAAGAAACGAAAATATTGCAGGATTCGAAGACCCTTCCTCCAAACGGAGGAGCGAAATTTACCTGTAATTGGCTTCAAAATTGAGAGAAAGGTGGGGGAATTAATCCTCTCTCATCATTCAATAGTTAAAGAAGGAAAGAATCTACATGGCCACCTCTATGCATGCCACTGCTTTCTAGGAGAACATAGTCAAGTATTATGATTACAACATAGAAAACAAAGTGCTCTGACAGGAAAAACATGACACTATAAGAGCCATGTGGGGCCCCTAACCCAACCCCAGGGAATCCTGGGAAGCTTCCCAGGGAGGCAGCATTTAAGGCTGCATGCGGAAGGCAAGGCTGGCATGATCTAGAATAGGATATTGAAGAAAGAAAACCATTCCAAGTAGAAGGGAATGTTTTTTCAAAGTCAAGATTCATTTGGGGGGATTGTGATCAATTCAAAGTTAGGATAAGGAAAGGAGGTGAGGGGTGAGCAGAAGACGTAAACAGAGCTGTTTCATGAAGAGTGCGGTATGTAGTGTGACCACAGAATTTGTCTTCCAAACAGCGATGTTTTGACCATAGAGGGAGTACTAAAAATAATTAAAATGATCTAAATGTGATATGTGTCTTTGCTGACCAATGACTTGACCAGGGGATGTATCAGATAATTGTATTGAAAAATGATTTTCTAAACTAAAATTCCAAAAATTCTGGACAAATGCTTAACGGAAGAGGATGCCAGTCCAACACACATAAACAGGGACCCTCCCGGACAATCTAGACAATTTGGTTACCCTGGTTGCATACTGCATCCCAGGATTGGATCTTTATCCTGAATGCAATAGGGAGATATTCAAGAGTGTTATAACCTATGAGAAATAATATGATAGGGGGCGCCTGGGTGGCTCAGTGGGTTGAAGCATCTGCCTTCAGCTCGGGTCATGATCCCAGGGCCCTGGGATCGAGCCCCACATCGGGCTCTCTGCTCAGCAGGGAGCCTTTCCCCCACCCCCCCGCAACCCCTGCCTGCCTCTCTGCCTACTTGTGATCTCTGTCAAATAAATAAAAATAAAATCTTTAAAAAAAAAAAAAAGAAAGAAAGAATATGATAGTATTTGGGTCAATCAGATTAGGTAACATACATAGTTGCAAGGACAGTTTTGTGGGTCAGCTTAGTCCCAAGGTCTGGCTCCATTGTTTTCTA